CAGTCTCTTCTGTGAAGAAATAAAGTAGTTTTCAAAGAAATGAACACAAAAGTGTGAGGTATGCACAAATGAATCACCACATAAGGGACACAGCAGCTGCATATGACACTTTGCAATCCATCCTCTTTAAAGATCAAAGAGTCTGCTGATGCTGGTTGGAGATGCCACTTCATCTTTAGTTTGTCATGAAAAGCAAATGTTATTTTCCAGAAAGAAAAAAAAAGAAGCTCCTCTTTAGTCTCGGGTAGGCACACGGAGAGCACAAAACACAGCCTTAAAGTAAATTGTTTAGCCTGAGCGCAAGCTGTTCAAAATTATCTAAGCTTGCACAGGATGATATAAAATATCCCTACAATGAAAGTTTAAATTTACAGCTACATCTGGGATTTTTGTTGGAATCCTTGATAAGGGGAAATGTGAAAGCGCCGCTTTAAAATGTTCTCTTTTTGTCTGCACAAATATCAAATCTGACATTTGTTTTAACATATTTTGAAATCTTGTCTTCTGACAACCCAAGTTGACTGCAATGCACTCATTTTTTAAGAAAATATGTGCAACATTGCAGCAAAAAACAAAAAATAAAATGAAACGGATTCAACAATTCCTGTCTTTTTAACTCTAATAAATCAGCCTGTTGAATTTGAGTATAATTTCTGCAGATCAGTCAAATTATACTACTTCTACAGGATGTTAATTTTGTCTTTGGTCTCCATATTAGTAAGGACACCACCATATTAGTCATGTGGCATAAGGACAACAAATCACAGAAAACTTTGTATGTTGGCAGAGCTGCCAAGGTAGCTTAAAAACCAGACTCATTTAACTCTGGATAAATGGACCAAAATTCTTGTAAACCTTTGGGAGAGACTTGAGGGAGGAAACTCCAAATATATGACCCAAGTCATAAATTTTAAAGGCTATTCCCCCAAATACAAAGGAAAGTGCAAAGAAAATTCAAAGAATGTTAAAGTTTTCGATCTGATTTTGGTATCTAACAAATAGAAATACTTCTGGTAACCCTACCTGACCCTACCAACTTTAGTCTGATGTAATATCAGTGAGTAAAAAAAGGCTATGTGAGCTTTTAAACAGTGAAAGTCAATATCCGACTCCAGCTGCATATTTCATTTTCTCTTTCATTAACTGAGATCTTAACAGCTGCAGCAAATAATGACACGAATTAACGTGTGCTTTGATTTTAAAATTAATTAGAGAAGCCAAACAGCCAAAACACAGAGTAGTTTGGTGCCAGAGATGGGAGTCGCATTTATTGAATTCAGAGTATTTTTTTTTTATATAAATGAAATTATACAACCTGAAGGGGGGATTCTGGGTCGTAATAGTATGTGACATCGTAGAAAACCGCAGCTCCCAAAAGGCCCAGATAGCCCTGCTTTCTGCACAAACTTTAATTACAAAGTCAAAGTTCTCCTCTAGTCTCATTAAAAGAAAAAAAAAACAAACAAACAAACTTGTTTTTCTCAGAGTCTTTTCTGCGCCGTCTTTTGGGGCTTCATCAGGGACACTGCATGTGGAAAAGCACGGTACTCGATATCACACAGACACTTTGATTCCTCACACCCAGCTCCTTCACCCCTCGCAGATATGTGCATGTATACAATGACTTATCAGACGCACTCGGAGTGATTTGATTTTAATTGTGTGTTTTCCACACTCCAACACAACCTTGGGCAACGTTGCAGAAAGCAGGCAATCCAAAGCAGCGAGTGAAGAGCATATTGATGTGAAGAAGAGCTCTAATGAAGAATAGGTCAAATAATTATTCACTGTCACTCCATCTGGTCAAATGCAATAAACAAATGGACAAGCTGGCAGCAGCACTAAAGTGGTAATTTGTTTCTGGTGATGTACTGTTATCATTACATCTGCAGCAGCTGTGGAGATCATTTCTTCAGAAACCCCGCAGGATTTCGCTGGGCTAGAAATCTCCCTTTCAAACGCCACCGCAGTGGGAGAAAAACTCAATAACTACAACGAATCCCATTCCTCAGACTCGGCACACAAACAAAGCTCACAGCCACAAGCCTGAGTACACAGACATACATACACACGTTTTTATGTATCCTGTTGAGTCACTCTGCTGTCAAAGAGACAGATTATAACTGCAAAACTCATACATGAAGACTTTTGTGATCAAACATTAATTTACCTCTAACATCTTTTCTTAACTGTTTTTTTTTTCATTATTTCAGCACAGAAACCAAGAAGTCTGCATGCAACACTTTCTGTTTCACTGTCACCATTAACAAGAGAAGAGAACATTAGGTATCACTTTTTAAAAACATCTGTAATTTATCTGCATTGCCGTGATAAGGGGTGAAAATACGTTTGATCTTAATATAGTTCAACAGGCTGCATTGGTGTGTCAACAAAAACTGCAGATATCTGGAAAGAAATAATTACGAAGGTGAGCGGCGGAGCGGTGCTTAGCAACACAGCACCAAGGTTGCAAGTTTAAATCTGTAACCGAGTTCTGTGGCGTTCTTCCCGTGCTTGTGTGGAGTTTTTCACGGTACCCAGATTACCTCTACAGGCCAAAAGCATACATGTTTGGATGACTGGGCAATTTAAGTTACACTGCGACTACGGTTGGACCTTCTAACTGTGCTGCAAAATCAGATTTTTGATGCAGCAAATACAAAATGAAACAGCCCTTTTGAAGGTAGAGTGTCAATCAGGACAGTCAGCAGTTTCAAACCAGGACAAAGATCAGAAAAAGTGCTGTGAAAATGGCAGGTTCAAACCCAAAATCACATGTAGGCTCAAACATGTTCCTTTGCTTTTTGTGGGGCTTAAATAAAGAGAAATACATCAGCTGCTTGAATTGGTGCCAGTACTCACAGGGAAGTCAAAAATTATTCAAAAATGATTCAATGTTGCAGATTTAGGCTTAAGTGATTTTTAAAAGAAGCGGTCAAAGATCCCTCTGCATGTTTTAACGTGTTTGAGATGAGAATCACCCCAAACAGATAAACGGAAGCATGACGTGCTAACGATTTTAGCTGCTGGAAACTGCTGCTTAAAATCTTGGCTTTACAGCCTTGAAGAAATTTACTTGCAGGCATGCAAAAGTATAATAAAGCATAAAAAATAAATGTGTTTTATTTGCCAGACTGAAACTTCTTGTGCTGCACAGTTCAAAGGAATTTTAAGTCTTCTATTGAAACATCAGTGGTATTGCAATTACTTGAAAATGTTAATTACCGTAACATTTCTCTGAAACTGTGCTTTACTTGGTGGTGCTTAATTAATTAGTGTGAAGCAGTAGTACGACAGGATGCTGAACAGATTTGTTCACCGTGTTTAATTGCATATGTCATAACAAATGTGGAAAAATCTTTTTATGACCAATTATATTATGCTTTTTACACGATAGAAATTGGGATTGTAATAGAGGTATGTGTGTATACTTTTGAGAGCAACTGAATATATAAAACGAGTAAAGCGTCAATTGATTTAAGAAGCTTTCAAAGGTCACTATGCAAAGATGCATTATTGATTTTTTTTTTTTTTTTTTACCATTTTTATAATCCACACAGCGGATTGTTAAAAAGATTTGATAAACCACACACATTCTGTAAGTAGTTCTGTTGCTATTGTTTCTGCTATAGTGACATGTGCTTTAATCAAACCAGTTTATAATTTATTTAACCACGTAGATGCATTCATAATTAATTCGTACTTAACATTTCAGAACATTAGTGTCTGCATGACCGGAGCGGCAATAAAATAAAAATTAGAGACACAAAACGAAACAAGAGCTACCAAAATTAATATTAACAGACATTCCACATTGTAAGTTGCCTATGGGGAGTCAGATTATTGTTCTGAGAAAAAAAAGGGACCCCTGGTGCGTCCACACCAGCACACAACAACACGAAGAGAGGAGAAGGCTCACAGTGCCCTATATTGCAGCAGCTTCCATAATCCGCAAGGGCAGATTTTTTTTTTTTTCATTTCCAATTGGACGCCAGCCAGTCCAGAGGATTTCTCCACTGCTGACATTTCATTGTCCAGATGAGAGGACATATAATCTAATGAGGTTTGTAGCCAGTCCTGCAAATGATATTTCAACTGACTGGACAAATTGTTGCTTCTTGATTTAAATAACGTAATGCGAACGATGTGGAAAAAGTTAGCTTTGTTTAAGAGGCAATTTAGTGCGTAGCGCTGACACTTCTTTATAGCAAACAGCAGCCAGGGCTATCTCGGTTTGGAGACTTGTAGTGATTTAGTCATGAGGGAATGAGGCTAAAAAGATAAAGAGTGAATTCCAACAATATAAAACAAATCAATGTCAGAAAATTAGTGGTTTGAGTGGATGCAGCAGGGAACTATGCACTTTTTGGATGAGACATTCAGTTTTGAAGTATTTCACTCTTCAAAAATGTGAGGTTTGTGTGGGTATCATAAGTGTTTGCAGAACAATAAAACATTTTCTGTTTAGATTCAAAATACTAAGTATAAGAAAGATAAAAAATGTTTGTCTTTGTGAGCCAAACTATAAAATAAGTATTACTTTGTCTCATTCAATATGTTGGTCCTGTTATAGGCAGGGCATCGGTCATATGCATCCAGACTCATAATTATTAAACATGGGAGATCGGTTCCTGTGCCCCTTGAGAAACAAGTACCTAATGAAACCTTACCATCAGCAGTCCAGGTATTTCAACTGCACCTAAAGCACAACTGGTTAAAACAACTTCTAGTCAGGGTGTCAAATAACTTGAGACTGTTATAGTCTTTTGTTGAATTTAAATAAAATCATTTAAAAAAGGGGTTTTGCTTGCTGTTGCCTCCAGGGTGTGGTGTAACCGTCTAACAAAGTCACGTCTGGATTTTTCACTTGATCCTTTTGAAAACAGTGTCTATATCTTTAGTCGGGCATTTTCCTATAAGTTTTATTTGTCTCTTTCAACTTAGAAAACTGTTAAGTTTTTTTTGTCACTTTATGAAATTGCCGTATCAAATGTCACTTCTCAGGAGCTTGCTTATTCTTTTATTGGGTGCAAAAATACATCAGTTATCATAACAGACAGTTGCAGAATTTCATGTGGTTAAAGTTTGCAGAACACAAACACATTTTCGGCATTTCTGCACTGTCATGAAAGTGTGCTACAAAAGCTGACAGAAAGTCTAAAGTCTCCACTCGCAAAAAAAAGCACATATGGTTTTCACAAAAGGCCATTCATCAGTCCAACAGAGCATTTGTAGCATTCTTGCCGTTTTGCATGACGGCTTTTGATAAGTTATTTGCCGATAGAACAAGAACAGACAGTTTCAACAGGAAAAAAAAAAATGCTTATCTTTACAATAAAAAGCATTGCTAACAGAAACGTTCAAAAGTAGAGTTCACAACAGGATTTCATTTATTAAATTTTTCAGCAGTTGGTGTTAATACATAGTTAATTTCATTGTTTTTAATCAGATGAAAACTTCTATTTTAATATTTAATCCCAGACTCTAGGAAAATTAGAATCAAGACATTTTTTTTTCCCCCAACTCATTGATATTGAGCCATTCAAATATTGAAAAACAGATTTTTTTGGGGGGGCGGTGTATTTATCTAAGGTGTGCTCTGTACTAAACCATAAACTATTTCTGATTATTAAAAAAAGTCACATAAATTATATTTTTTGAACCACAAACCAAAGTAATCTTGTGCAGGAATTCCTTCATTTTCCGTTTGATTCACAACTACTGCCTTGATCAAAAAAACCTGCAACACATTTATTTTTTAAAATCTTTTCTGTGTGTTAAAAATCTTCAAAGAAATCTTAGGATTTATGAAACTGCTGATTGGTTGAGTCAGACCTCAAAGAAAACTGCAACTCAAAAAGGCTGGCTGAAGCGTCTTTAGTTTTTTTTTTTTCTTTTTCTTTATGTTCCTTCTAGTTCATCAGGGAAAGAAGGGTCCTTAAAAACTGTCCATCTCAACATTAACAACACATTTGAAGCTCCAAAAACTATTAGTTTTATTCATTATTGATGTTAAAATACATTAGATACACTCCATTCTGTTTAAAAAATATATATCAGTTGATCAAAACCTTTATATCTGTCAAGAGTGAGACATTTAGGACCAAACTCCATTCAAAATGTCTGTAGAGTGCTGCTCCCGTCTTACACAGCTCCTACGTTTGAATGTTTTATCATTAATAACACACTTACAGAAACATCAGGAGATCAGGAGCACTCAATGCTGCATTCATTCATAAACTTGGATAATTACAACCCACATGGGGAGTTAAGGATTGTCCTTGAGGGCCAGACCAAGTCCCTGTCCTCGCCGAGTGATCAGCTGGCGTCCACAGCTCTGTCATTTAGCCAGGACTGGGCAGCTGTCCGATGTCGCTGTTAACCTGGGCAGAGACCAGCCCGTTCAGAAAGCTGTTCGAGCATGGCAGCTGCTCAAAGGGCAATGAGGTATTAAGCATAGATTTGCAAGAATAAAAAATGTCCTCTCTCTCTCCCTCATAAGCTTCTGGTCTGTTTTACACGCAAGACAAGCCATAAGCACAGGAACGCACACGCACACACACACGCACACACACGCGGTCTTACGTAATGTTGGCAGCACTCTGCATCAGCCTGTTTTGACGCAGCATACTCACTGTGCATGTTGACAGAAAGCATGCACTGCTCAGACTCATGCATATTATTTTGGACAATAGTGAGGTTCAAACTCATAAGCATCCGCCTCATTTTGGTATTTACTTCGGCGTCTCGCTGCTTTTCGAACAGCCAAAAAAAAAAAAAAAAACTCAGAGCATGTAGTGCTCGACCACAGTTTTCTGCAGCACATCAAAGCCTATTTGAGCTCACATTCAACATGGGAAACAGTGCAGTGTTGTCAAAATAAGAAACAGAACCACCGTGAGATGTTCTCAACGAGTTGTCAAATGGCAAGTAAGCTTGGAAAGAAAAATAAAAAACAAGACAACAGAAGGTCATATCTTAACAGCAGACAGATTAAACAGCATTCAGTGTCTTCCTCTGTAGAGAGAATCAATTCGAAGTATCCCGGAATGTCTTCGGGGTTCAAATTTGATGAGCACGTGATCTTTTAAATCCAATAAACACCGAGCCTTAGAGACCGTGGTGGCTAGTCCAGTGCTACCCTTAGGGTTAGACAAAAAATCTGAATATTCAAAATTCAGATCCCTTTGGCCATGCAGGACTCCTTGAATTGCGTTCTTAGGAATCAAAAGCACGGTCTTCGCAGATTTCGAGTGCGGCTTTACTTGCACCGCCAAACACTTCTACATTGGCGTCAATCCAAGGAACCACGTTCCCCGGCATGTAGGCCGAACAGTTGGCCAAACCCATGATGTCCACCGGCCGTAGCACTCTGTCCCACATGTTGAACTGGCTCAGCTCGCCAACAAAGGCTTGGGTAGCATCAAAACGCCCTCCGACGATGTCCTTATTTGGAAAACAAAACAAAATTTATGTTACATAGATTTTAAGGACAGTATATTAAGTATTCCATAAGGTAACAATTTTACCTGTTTTATTGTAGCCAAATTTTTCATGGAATCCATACAGTGCACTTACAAGTGACTCAGACTATTTGCAATAACTAAAAAAAAAACTGGTAAAAATATGTGATAAAAGAATTTAATTGGAAAGACCAATAATGAGAAAAATTTTGAGTTGCCTATTGTCACCAAAAGTATTGAGCGGTGAAAGCTTGGACGGCAGATTTGACCTAAAATAAGTACAATTGAAAACAAAAAGAGCAGAACAAACATAAAACTGTCCATGACTTATTGTTACTTATGTGACAATAACATTAAGTCCAGTCATGAGAGTTTTAGTAGTTTGACTAAAAAAGTCTGCCTTGCAGCTTTCAGATGCCTTAGTGTCGATCAGCCTCTAATCCTTATGCAATCTGCAGCAATCTCAATTGAGTTTCTTGGTGAAAAGGAAACCAATATCAACCCCTCTGGCTCTGAACTGGTGCTTCATGAGTAATCATTTCTCTGTACACTCCATTCACATGTTCTTTTGAATTTCCTTAAGGACACACATGGAACTTTCTCGGAGTTAATCTATGGAGATTTGCCATGACGCTTCCTGTGGGATTTTTTTTTTCCAGCAGTTTATGAGTAGATGAATGACGTTATAGTAAGAGGGCCACAGTAGCGTGAGAAGAGACTCAATGCCTCCTCCCCTGTGCTCCCTGCTCTGTGCCTCTGGCACTCAGGATGAAGGAGAGCACACAGACGATCCTACAGGTACAAAAACATACACACACTTGTTCTTTACCAGCTAAGCCTTCAGGCTCACCTGTTCCTGGCCCAGGATGATCACCCCTCCAGGTTTAATTGGGTGCCAGGGGGCCAGGTTGTCTCCGGTGCCGAGCCGCTCGCCGTCCTGATAAGCCTCCCAGAAGCCGTCTCTGGTCGTCCAGGTGATGCAGATGTGGTGCCAGCGCCCGTCGCTCACTGACAGAGGGAGCTGGGCCACCTGGGTGGAAGATAAGGGCAGAGGAAAGGATGATGTGAGTCACAGGCACAGATCAAAAGAGAGACGGGCAATGACGAGGGGGAACAGGAAGCAGGACGGGTCGGGAAAGGCACGAGTTAAAATGTGGCATGTTAGAAACAAGGACAGCAATTAGAAGGGTAACAGCTTCAAAAAGAAGCAGTTCCCTACAGAGGCTTCGCTAAGCAAGAGAGACATTTAAAATTCAGATTACCTAGGTGACATCAAGGGATAGAACATCCTTCAAAGCATATCAGAATGCTAACAGCAAAACTCTGTCCTCTTATGGGTTCCCGCTTTGTTCGTAGATCAAAGCAAAACAACCAGTTATTTTACCAACCAATGACATCATTGTCTTTTGAGGATTCGGCACTAAGCACGAGATCATGAGTGTGCACTGTAGCTCATTAGCCTTTTTTATTATGAGCCTAAAGGACTGATTCGTAGTCACATATCTCGCAGCAGATGTAGCTCTGGACGCAAAGAGACCTGAGAAAATGGAAATGATTGAAAATAAAATTCTAGTCACTTGCAATTACGAAGCATGCTGACCTCATTAGAGACACCAGGTGGTGTGCTTTCATTAGTGGGACAACAGGGAATACTCCGAGTGTTGTTGTAATGTGTCTATCATGCAGGCAAACCAAGGCTTTTGGATATTAAACTCGAAAAAAAAATTCTTGTCAAATATTCCTCAATATCAAAGCGATCGCGCCTCATATTCACAGGACAAACTATGACTCAACTCGTGTTTAGTTAAACGATTACATTTTCGAAATAGAAAAGATGATGCTTTTGAGTCATTATTTAATAACAATGCTTTTATTTATATAAGGTTTTACGAAAGCTTTCCAAAGCAGAAAACCCTAATGATAACATATTTGCCTCAGGCCAGCATTGGGAAATTGCTCTAAAAAAACGAAAAGGTTGGGGGCTGGATTTAAATGTTATTTGTACCAGGAAAGCTGGAATCATAGTATATTTTTCATGTTCTGTGGGACTTTGAGTTGTTTCTGTTATGTTATGTGTTTTTCTTTTTTTGTCAAACAGAATTGCCTGTTCCTTCTTCCACTAATCATCCTCATCTGTAGCCTATTTACTCATCAGTTGCCTAATTTAATCTTTAACTTTGGACTGCAAGTCTACTTCTTAGGATTGTCATTAATTGTTAATCTGATCTTGCCTCTTTCCAATTTGGGTCCAACAGAACAGATGGATTTAACTTGGTGATCCTAAAATCAAAGCCCTACATACCACGACAGAGTCAGCTCTTCCTATGTGCCATGGAGAGCAAAACAACCTGATGGTAACTACTGACTGACTCAGCAGTTTATTTTAAAAGCAGATATTCTTACTCTCAGTGCTCGTTGCAGAATTCAATGAAAGACATGCGTACACTTAAAAGGTCTTCCTTTTAATCAAGTCAGGATGGGTCTATGGGCTTCACAAAACATGTTCATCTTATTTTTTTTATTTTTTTTTTTGCACAAAATCATTCTCGGATAATGAGATTTCTCCTCCTCAGTTCTGCCTATTTTGAGCTCTTTTCAGAATGAGCTGCTTTAGGACCTTTTGTCACTTTTATGCAAATAAGCTGCTGCTGGCCGCATTGCCAACTCAGTGTTTACACTCACACTTTATGCACGGGAAAATGGCTGCAAGCAGATGCACAACTGGTACAACTGTGCGTCTTTGACCCCGAGTCAGACCCAGAAGTTGAAGAAGTGGAGCCTCCTGCACAACCACCGAGGATGCAACAAATGGTTTCTGAATGGTGAGTCAACAACAAACACTTGTCTTTTCCTGTAGCCATTGTACAGTGCATACAGAGGTAAAACCAGCTGACCAAACATGTTCATCTTCAGCAATGAAGTGGGAAGAATTCTGCTTTGGTTGCTAGGGGCTGGGTTTAGCTGGGTTTAGCTTAGGTGAGGGGCAGTACCTGCCTATTGTGACTTTATATTTGGGAGGTTTTTATAACTGCTCATTTTCCAGACACCAAAAACATGAACTTGTTGCCAGAAAATGGCTGGTTGATTTTATTTTTTTGGGCTGTTTCAAGAAGTAGTAGAGACTCAAATGGAAGTACAAAGAGGTGAACTTTGCATCTAGGTCACCTCTAACACTCTGAAGCAGTTAGATGGATAAAGAAAATGGCAGCTATGATTTGAATTTGCAATGCTGAAACTTGGACCCATATCTATAGCTGACTGACAGGTGTCCAGTAAATCGGAAAAAAACCAAAAAACCCCAAAAAAAAAAAACAACTTTGCAATGTCTCTGTCATCCCGTCAGTACAGCAGTGTTGTCTGATCCAAAATGTTTGTGGTTTTGAAATTATGACATAAGCATACCTTGAAAGCAGAAAATGATCAATGCCTGGAAGAAAGACAGATGCAGATGAGGACAATTACGCTGGTCCTCTCGGAACGATTTCAGAAGTGCCTTCAAATAAATACATCTTTTATCGCCTTTGGAATAAACATGTGTAGGTTTTGGTCAGATGAGCTTCAGATTGAGATCTTCAGCAACAAATACTCCAGAAGGGTTTGACCTAAAACAAAGATTTACCTCACATCTATGGTAGAATATCTTTGATGCTGTGGACATAATTGTCTTCTAATGGCCTTGAGAATATTTTCAAGAGTTTATGGTGTCATAAACTCTTTCAGACATCAGGAGAGTTTACATACAAATCTGGTGGACTTGAAAATCTGTCAACTTTGGGTCTTTAGATGTTGATCCAAAAGACACCTGGCTATATCAAAGCAGAAGTGGTTCACAAAACACAAATTTCTACCATTGATATCTCAGTGCCCAGACCTAAAATCTGTGAAAGCCTGTGGAGTGGGCTGAATAGCAGAGAGTACAAACTGATTTGGATAAACTAGAGCAGAGGTTCCCAAACTGTGGGGCGCGCCCCCTAGGGGGGGCGCCGTGTCATTGCAGGGGGGGCGCGGGAAGCCGTCTGGATGAAGAAAAAAAACAAAACATGAACACTGTATGCGCTGGGTTTTTACCTTAGAACGGCCAACTCTCTGTTATTCCTATGTCAATTTGATACAGTAGAGGCTTCCACACTTCCCATATCTGTGCCCTGTCACTTTTATCAGCAGTTAAAACTGTTTAATCTGTTGTTAACGTGTTGTAACCTGTTTTTCCAAGCCACCTTTAAACGCAACATGAGCGCTACGACGCTCGCGCTGGAGGAGACCTGCTGCTGGGCGGAGCTACGTAGGTTTGTGTTAGAATCACGGCAGCAAACCAGCAAAACGCAAAGAACTTTTCACAGTTTTTCCCTCCAAACTAACCGACTGAGTTGAGTAAAGCTGTTGGATGCTGTTGGTTAGCTAAAAGATGACTAGCTAATATCAATACAGAACCTTAAGCTTAACAAGTAGGCTACCGATGTTGGTGTCTATTTTCAGCTACGTACATTCATTTTGCCCCCAAAAAAGTCGATGCCCCCCGTCACACGCGTCGTTTCAACCAGACAGCCATTTGTAATCCATAGGGGGGCGCAGAAAATGTTTAGAAACCACTGGGGGGGCGCAGAAGAAAAAGTTTGGGAACCACTGAACTAGAGAAACTGTGGAAAGAGCAACGATCAGAAATCCCTCTATGCTCCGATCTTGAAAAATACTTTAAAATGTGACTGCTTCAGTGGGAAAGAGGGTTTATTGCAAGGTTGTCAACAATCTGATTGTTTTAATTAAAGACAGTTATTCAACATTTTTCTTCTCCTTTGAATAAATGTACTCAAAATTAAAGTTGAATGTATAAAGCTTAAGCACAAGATTATTCTACTACATTGTTGAAATATAAGATGAATTTATTTTATGGCTTTTCCACATCTTTTTATTGGTGGTAAGTACATCTTTCCAGAATCTTTTTTTTTTAGTTAGTAAAAGCAAGAATGAGCAAATCTAGGCAATACCTCTGATGATGTCAACAAAATTGCATCAGCCACAGAGATACAGAGATTTTGAAAATCATTTAAACATTTTTGGGGGAGATTTAGTTTTTTTTTTTTTTTTTCTCCTTTGGAAAACAGTCTCAGAAAACACAAGGAGCATTAGGGATTGGAGCATCAGACTACACATGCAAAATGGCACAATATTTCTGTGTTCGTTGTGTGCAGGGCTGGAGGAAAAGCATGAGCCCGTTTAAGATTATGGTGGAGGCAACATTAGGGGACATCAACAATCTCCTTGTGCAAAGGGAAGCAAAATCTGGAGGAAGAGGCTGATGTGTAACAAGTGGGACTCTGAACCTGCATAATGACTCATAAAAATATAACAAGACAACTCTGCACTTTTAAATATTGTTGAGCCAATCTTCCGCTTCCTCCTTAATATGCAGTAAAATGAGGAGCATGAACAATGCAGCTTGCTGGACACTGCGAGTAAATTCAACACACGGACGTGCTATTGCACACATGATGCTCAAATTTACTACACTTCATTTAATTTCTTTTATTTCCACAAGAATAATTTCCTGCAGTCTTTTCTATTTCCCTTTAAATTTTCCACCATTTTCCAACGGGAACCTTTCATAGAAAGTGATGTCTTTGCTGTATTTCACATTTTTGGTCTCTATTAACCTCCAAAGCACTGCGACTTCTCAGTTTCTCAGCCCTTTCTTCCAATCATACGCTCATCCCTTCCACCATCTCTCTCTGATCCAGCTGACGTGAACCCATGTATAATGCATAGTGAGAAGAAAACTGTGGGGAGACCTGCCTGTGCCAATAACACCCAGTGTAAACAAGAGAGTCGGGTAGGAATACCAGTTTGGGATCATTTTAACCAAGAATCTGAGCAACTGAGTCTGGGGTTTCAAACTGAGCCATTAGTCATAAAACTGAATTCATTCCTGCAGCTTATATCACCGTAACAATGCAAGTACTTCAAAGCAAATGCCAGAAATTATGCGCGTCCCTTGTCTAACCATATTGAGTGCTGTGATAAATGAAATTGCACTGACTGCATGACTAGAGTAAAGGATGAAGTCCAAATATAAGGCCATCAAACGAGCACACACAGCAGCCCCTGTTCTCTAATGAATATACAGTTACCTCTGGGTTTGAGTGGAACGTGGGTCAGCCATATTAAATGTTTATATGGTACAAATTTTAGTATTCAGAATGAATGTTCAATGATTTCCTGTTCAACATAAGCTCGCAGGAACCACCTGCTTGTTTCACATTACAGAGACACAAATTAGAGTAATTACGCTTTGTCTTTTTGTTTTTCAAATTTTATCAGTGCCATAACTGAACCGACTGTGTTGGCAGGCGAATAACGCAGCAATTTTTTTTTAATTATCTTTCTTTACAGAAAATCGGTCATTTCAAAGACAAGACAGAACTCCTCTCCCTCTGCAAGTTTATTCTTAACTGATAGAGTTAAAGCTGCCAGGAGATTCTCCTTTAATCCATGCCACCAGGAGGCACCAATAAGCTCAACAGAGCCTTTTTGCACACTCACTTCAGAAATAGACACGTCAAGTAACTTCTAATCTTCTTGCTGCCTTGCTTTGGTTTTAATAAATAATGCTTTTAAAGTGAGCTAAAAGTAGTTTATTATTAATATATAGTTTTTTAAATATATTTCTGATCCATTAGACTTTAAAATATTTGTATTATTCCTTATGCTTTAAAAATATTTTAAGTAAACTTTTTTTTTATGGTGTTCCAGATAATATTTAATGTTTCTCTGTCAATATAAAAGTAGCTGAACATCTCTTTCACAGTTGTCTACGTGTTTGAAATATTCTACAAATGGTCCTTCAAGTGGCACCAAACAGACCCACTGACCCCTTTTGGCTCAGATTGTAAAGTTAACCAGAAACATAATCAGACATATAGCAGATCAAAGTAGTGTTTTAGTTTTACTCAAAATGTTTCTTGTGGCTGGATGTAACATTACAATTTTGGAGAGACTCAGTCACAGTCTCGACTTCAAACTGATTTGTAGAGGGAGATAGATTTGAAGCTCATCAACAAAATACCAGCTAGAAATTAGAAGAAGCGTTTTATTGATATAATGTAAAAAAAAAAAAATCATTTTAAACCTAACGCTACCGAGTTGATGAACAATTCTAGGCTTAACCGTGTACGGAAAGTGTAAGGAAGAATAAACTCTGCTTCTGTTTGTAGACTTACCTTGTCATTGACCAGTAACTCAATAGGATTGTTGCCCCATTCAATCAGAACTATCTCATTGGCCTGTCCAGGCACGCCGTAAGAGAAAGGGGTTCCTATGCCTGGACTGGCGCTGGACTTGAGCCACATGCAGACAGTGAAGGCATACATCTCCGGCAGGCTCTTCTTAATGCGTCCGTACAGATAGTTGGTGCGCAGAGGGAGGGACACCTTGAAGTCTTCTGGAGACTTAAAGGCATTATTACCTATGAACAGATAAAATATATATAATTGAGCATAAACATGATTAGTGTTTGTCTCATTTGATGCCTAATGTTGATTATTATAAAGCAACATTAATGTGAAAAAGTAGGGAAGGGCATGTTTATATTGCTCTCTAGTTTTAAATCACAAGTTAGCATAAAATAATCCCAAAAGTAAATAACAGAACAGTAATACGTATCATTATTAAGTCAAGAAAACAAACTGACAAGCTGGAAAAGAAGTTGTTTTTTTGAGTTCAGACTCTAATGAAACCATCATTTATGCACCAAAAGTGGCATCAAAATATTTAAAAAAATATTGGAAGAATTGTAAATTGTTACTATGGACAGAAACACAACTTTAAGACACTAGTGGATTTTTTTTCCCTTGAACTGTTCAATTTATGTTTCTCCAAAACATTTTTAACCTATATTTAAGGTTAAGACCAAAGTAGAGAATTTATATAATAACTACTCCTTGAACAGATTGAAACCACGTTATTGACACCACCACCTTTTAATTAAACTATCTTATCACAAAAATCCATCCACCCTTGTCCCTTAGTGGGGTCAGGAGGGGTGCTGGTGTCTATCTCCAGCTAACGTTCCGGGCGAGAGGTGGGGTCACCCTGGACAGGTCACCTGTCTGTCACAGGGCAACACAGAGACACACAACCATGCACACACACTCACACTAGGGGCAATTTGGAGAGGCCAATTAACCTGACATGTTTTTGGACTGTGGGAGGAAACCAGAGTACCTGGAGAAAACCCACACATGCACAGGGAGAACATGCAAACTCCATGCAGAAAGACTGGGGCTGGGAATTGAACCCAGAACTTTCTTGCTGCAAGGCAACAGCTCTACCAACTGCACCACTGTGCAGCCCTCACAAAAATCCAATAGGTTTTAATCCAAAAATAGTATGTCTGGTTTAAACCATTCTAAATTATTAAAATTTATTCTTTGGATTTTTGTAACATTTTATTTGTTATTCCTTTTAGTAGACTTCAGTCAGCCTGAGGTTCTTTTAGCAAAAATCTCTCTTTTTTTGCAGCCATGTCCACTTTTGTTTGTTCTGTGTCCTTCTGATGTTAGATTTACGAACATTAATCAATGTAAGAGAGAGATCTAGTTGTTTTGATGTTTTGATGTTCCCTGCAATTTCTCTGTTACCTCAACAATTTGAAGTGAGTTGCGAACCCAATGAACTTCAGTCATTTATTCACCGAGGTCTCTATAGACCTAGTTTGATACTAGCTTTTACAGAATGGGTGGAAGTGTCTTAAATGTTTTAATGTATATCTGAGACACTTCCATAATTTGGTATTTTAGTGGCTGAAAACATCTAAAAATAATTTGTAATAAATCCTAATCTTAAATGGAGAACAAGTATAACTTGTTAAAGTGATTTGTTTAACTAGTGCAATTTTTGAAATTGAACACGCAAATACACATGAACCACAGTATATTGAGCAATTAGCATTAAAGTGACAAAGAAGCAACAAACATTAAAAATCAGCAATGTGGCACTTACTGTGCTAAGGTTTGTGTTGTCTGATTATCAAACAATAACCCATCATTAAATTTTATTATTATTACTATTAGCTTGTACAGGAAATTAGTTTTTCCAATGCCTGTTTTATCTTTAACACTATTTTTTAAACCCACCACATCACATATTAGTACAAGTCAATATGTAGCAGTAACCACACAGTGTAACCACATCTCATTTACCTTCCTCTGATATCAATGTCATACCCCATACCATACTATGAAGAAGTATTTTCCACCTTATAGATTGCATTTTTTTTCACTTGCAAATTTAAGCTGAGTAAATAAAGAAATGTAGTTTTTTAAATGATGGTTTCATTCATTAAGCAAACAGAGTTCTCCAAAGTGGCTCCATGTGTTTAGACCTTGTCCATGTGACAGAATAGTTTTATTTTAGTCATATTAGAGCTTTGTGAAGAATGAACAGATTATTTAAGGTCACACAGCTGTAATTAAATTGCATTTATGACCAGACTTTTGACTAGGTCTGACTTTTTTTGAGCCAGTACCAAAACGCCATACATAAAAATTTCAGATTTTCACATTAGTTCACAGAAATATTGTCCCAAAAGTCTCGAGGGTCATAAAAATGGTTTTTGGTCAACGTGAGACAGACCTTTGTACGACCTGCTGGATTAGTTATTGATGAACTCTTGAAGTAATATTTGTAGGCAGCAGATCTTAAAGGTTCAACACTATTCCATGTTTTCTCTAGTCTCAGTTATTCACATGTTTCTGCTCATTGATTCATGTCTTGTTTCATGAACAATCACTCGCCACAAATCACAGTCTCATTTGGTCAATTTGAACTCCCATTTAATGTCAAAATGTAAATATTTTACAATATTTCCTGTCAAATAAAATATTCAAATTAAATGTGGTTGACTTTGTGTTATGACTAATTGAATGCCATGAGTGCACATCTACTCTATAACAAAATATTAATAAATTCTTGAATTTGATGTTTTAAGATCAGGTTGCTATAATATCTTTCAACTCATCAACTAAAGATTCACACACACAATCTGCTGTGTAATCTGTTTTCATGCTAGCAAACCAACCAGTTCAAGCAAAAAAATGTTTTTGGGTCCATATGTAAACTACTCAGACCCCATGATTTTTGCCTCTGTTTGCCACATATATGTTAAACTTTTTTCTCCCTCTCAAGAACAAAAATCTCAAATATCATGTGCATATTAATTTTGTGCAGCATTTCCCATCATGCAGCCCCTTTTAAAAGAATACTATTTTCCCACAAGGTCAGTTTCAAATAAAAAGTAGATACGCTGTCTCTGCACATTTCAGAGCAAGTCCAAGGAGGAGAGGAAAATTGGGTTACAAAGCCATTGAACAAGGTTTATTTGCAGGTAAAATCCTTACCTTTCTATCTCCCAGAACAACCCAATAAATCCCATCCCCGGAACTCACAGCAGGAACCCTCTGACATTAATGTGATGGAAATTGAACTAAACAAAACTCACAAACAAGTTCTGCACTGAGAGGCTTCTGCATCAAGATATGATATTGTACACGTGTTGCTTCTGTGCAACTGAGACATTAATATCAGTTATGAAAACTATCCTTGCCTCAGCCCCTGTCCGATTCTGCTAAACCTTGAAGAAACGTCCAGTGAAATGTGAAATAGACTTCTTAAGCATTCTTTTTTTTTTTATTCTGTTGGTGGAAACATTTTCAGTATTTTGACATCTACCATCAAAGAGCAACCCAGGAAGGCGGACGCTTCTTGAATAGTTTTTACACTAATTAAAAACATTTAGCACTTGCTTTCCGAGCCTCACTTTTAAGACCACAGCAGATTAGCTCTATGAGCAAAGGGAGTGTGATGGGAAATCTTTACATCGTTGAAACCGTATTCAGACATTGACTAATCGCTGCTAATTTAGTAAGGCAAAATTTATATATAAAAACAAAATTGGCATTAAAATTTGCACAATTTTTTCACAGCTACCCGATGCATCATGCTTACTCTTCTCGAGCTCTGCGATCCTCTCCATGAGGGAGTTGAGAGCGCTTTCGGTGCGTTGGCGGTGGGCCGCGGTTTCATTGTAGAGCTGGCTCTTCTCCTCCTCCAGCTCAGCTACCTTCCGGAGGAGCTGCGTCTCCAGTGCCCCCAGACGCTGGCGCAGCAGCTCGCGGAGCTCTGGTGGCAGGGGAGTCAGGCCCGAGGCTCCTCCGGCCGATGAGTTTGTGCTGGGGAGGCGCAGGTTTTGCTGCTGGGATTCACACCACAGACAGAGATTAGAGACGGACAGACGTTAAATCCTGCTAGCCGTCAGTGCAGTAGATTGCTGATCAGACAGCTCTGCTATCTTTTTGGCAGCATTGTCTTTGATGCATCAATCTCTAAATGAAGACAGCGCGTCCCTGAGGCTTGTATGGGCGACCTGCCAAACACCCGTGGCTGTGTGCAGGGTATTAAAGGTAGACGTCACCCCAAGTTGACACTACGATGACAGATGGTTTGTTTCTTTTTTTTTTTTATTTTTTATTTGGAACATGGGAAACATCATGTGCCCACGCAAGTAAAAAAAAAAAAAAAAACTGCCCTCAAATGTCCATTTCAAATATTACTCTGCTGGCAGTCTGGAGCACATCCCAGTCTGATTACTTTTTTACGGAAAAATTCAACCATCTAAATGCCTGAGCGTAGCTGTTTGGTCCAGAATGCAACTGCTCATGTATGCAAAGCCAATGCCTTGCAAAAATAGTCAGACCGCACCACAGCAGTAGACTTTCATGTATTTTATTGGGATGTTATGTGATAGATCAACAAACACAAGTGTGTAATGAGTTGAAGGACATCATACATGCTTCCTGCATTTTTTACAAATCATTTAGCATGCATTTGTATTTAAACTCTTTTGCTGAGATCCCTGTACATAAAATCCAGTTCATCCAAGTGCCTATGTACTGATCAGGAAAGATATTGGCAACATTGGCCATATTCCCCAAACATAGCTTATACTTGGTGTTGACAGCATTACACTATGATTATGCTTTTCTTGAGCAATAGTAAAGGGACTGCTTAGAGCTGATGGAACAAAATAGAGGACAATCCAGAAAGAAAATGTGTCAGAGGCAGCAAAAGACCAAAGACCAACATGGAGGTTCACCTTGCAGCAAAACAACAACTCTAAGAATACAATTAGAGCTACAATGAATAAGGGTACCCAGATAGCACAGAATGATTGAAACAACATT